ACTTAGAAATTTTAGAGATTAGAGTTTTTAAAAATTAATTGAAGGGTTTCTAAAAATAAAGTTTTTTTAAGAATGAATTAGGACTGGCCATAAACTATGAATTAAACTAATAACTCTATTTAAAAGAGACATATCAATCAATAAATCATATTTCATTGATATATAATACTACCAGTAAAACATTTATATTCTTAACAAAAGATATTCAATCAGAACACAAACAAATATTTGTTACATTTATAAAATATATAAGACTAACAAAATTTCATAATTTTTCTATCAATTTTAGCTAATAATAGAAAATATTTAATATAGAATGTTAAGTAATATATCGTCATAATTTTCCTAAATACATTTAAAAGTATAATTTGCAGTAACACTTATTAAATAAGGAATGATTTTATAATATTAATATATTATTACAGTTAATAATCAAACTATATTTTATACTTAAAATAATGTTCTTAACATTTTCCAAATAAATACTATTTTGTTCGAGGGGAGAGGAAGGAACACGAGAAGACGCTATATAAGAGACTCGCTCACAAACTTCGAATATTCGGAAACAGAAGACTGAAGGAAGAGTGAGTGAAGACACTTCTTCTCCTACTCTCTCTTCTATGCTTCCGACCTTCTCTGTAAGATCCTTTTTTTCTTACTCTTTTTCTCTCACTTCCCAATTCTCTCTCATTCTCTGTCTCTCTCCCTCCAACTCTCTTTCTCTTCTTCCCATTTTCTCTCTAACTCAGTATCTTTTGCTGATTCGTTTATGGCGGGAACTCACGTTTTTCGCCGTTTTCCTCCATTCCTGTCGTTTCCTTTTCCCTTTCTCGTTAACGCTAATGTCACGCTGTCAGTTCCTCCGATATTCCTTTCTTTCTATTTTTCTCGACACTCCCATGGCTGCATCGCCTATGTGTTTCATTACCAAACTTCATTTGTTCCGAAATCGCTAAAATACCACATTCTAGGGTTTCCCTTTTTCCACCCCCAATGCCCCATTCGGACCCTGCAAAATGCTGGCCGTTTTGATTTTCAATGTATCACCATTTAGTCGAAGTTAAATATTAAACTAATAGTAACAAACATTATTATTTTAATTGCTGTTATTCAATCATTTTGTTTTAACCAAGAAAAGACTAAAAGTCGAAACTTTTCCTTGCATTTTTTTCCTAGGACATGCAACCTCAACCTGAGTACTGTTTCAAGTGGTTTCTGTATTGCGCTTTCTTATATGGCTGAAAGAGTATTGTTGTGTTGTGTTGTGCTGAATTCTGGGTGCAGGGTTTCTCTGATTGACAGGACCTGCGGCTTTATATCCCAATGCCGCTTTTGAGGAGAAAGCCTTTTGCCCTTGCTGAACCACCGAATGATTTGGAGCCATGCGAGAGTCTTTTTCGAATTCGATTTACTAAAGAAGTATTTCGAGATTATAAGTATCTTTTTGTCGTTCATTTATTTCTATAACTTTTCACCTGTCTTACTTAATTACTTGGAATACACCAAAAGCATAGCGTGATTTTTGAGTTGGAAGAGGTTGAAAAGTGTTTCGATTTTTGCACTTTTTTTGCATTTTTGACCATTTGTTTAATGGTGGGTATTCCTTGACACGAACAAGTGATTATTTGAACCGCTTAAATCAATACCGCAAGAGGGTTTGGACGTGCAAAGTAACGGGAAAAACCGGCTTGACTTATGAACAGGCTTTGGTGTCAGAGAAGCTTGCTACTGAGAAAGTTCAACAGATTCCGGAAGAATTAATGGTACCGGCACTTAGGATTATTCAGTACAGTAAGTTCTACTTTTGGTCCAAATGAAAAGAAAAAGTTTATGTTGAACGAAATTGAACTATGTTTCCTTTTTCTTTGTGGCTTATTATTGGTTATGCTCATTTGTTTTGCATGGGTAATTTGAAAATTTTCGTTTTTTCTGCATTTGTTGAAATTAAAATATATGGTTTAAAGAGCTGTCTTTTAATTTGCTTTGTTTACAAGGGTTTGTTATTGTTAAAAGTTTATAATATACAGTATTATAAGCACCTTTGGAGGAAATTAAGATGATTGTGAAGAAGCACATGTAATGGGATGTGCATATTGAATCCCGCAGTAGGGGCGGTGACTTTAAGATGGGACGTTACTTTTGAATGATCGAACAAAAGGTATACCGTGCTACCATCCACAATGTTATTTGAGAGAGAAAGATTGCTTTGTTGTCTTGGAGTTGTTTTCAAGGGCCTACCAAATGGTTTTAGATTACTGGTTCCGTTTTTCATTACAGGAATTTGTCCATCAAGTTAGCAGTTCAATGCAAGTATTGCATTTTACTATTTATTCTATAAATTGTCCTAAGCCTCATGTCTATCTCTTATGTTGGTTAGCTTGAAGATGAGTAAGTTTTGGCTAATTAGCTGGTATAAGAGATTAAATTATTGCTGGTTAAAGCAAGCCATGCCAAATATGATTTAGGTTGCCTGTATATATCTCGTGGGAGCCTCTTCAATTTGTTTCGGTACACAGAAGTTTATGGGAGGAGAACCTGCCTCATTCCAAGGTCTGGACACAAGACTCAGGGAGATCTTGAAATGGTAACGAAGAGTTATAGATGATCCACTAATGAAGGATTTAGCTAAGTATATATGTCTGCATAACATCTTGTGACTTTGAGGCAATTAAGAACTGTGGTTGTGATGATTTTTCCCTTCAGATTGCTTAAATTGTGAATCATCAATTTCTGCACGACTCTGATTTTTGATCAAACAATGCTATATGCATCAAATGAAGGAGTTTGCTAAATTCATCTTATGTATTATTACAAGTGTTTATCACAATTTCTCTTAGAAAAATTCGTAGGTTTTGGAACTTTAAAAACTATGCTTGTTTAAGAATTGGTATGAAAAATTTTAGGATATATATCAGNTGGTCAGCATGCATGCAGTGTGAGTGTGAGTGCGTTTTAATGGAAGGGTGTGCGTGTCACGGTGCATTAATGGAAGCACAGTGGTGACTCATCAGAGTAATTAATGGGGCGTGACAGAAAGTATGGAGGTGTAAAAAATATTTGCTTGTTTTTAAAAATTAATTAAAATTTTATAGTGAGTTAAACCCATCTCAATTCTAATCCTAACTTACTTAGAAATTTTAGAGATTAGAGTTTTTAAAAATTAATTGAAGGGTTTCTAAAAATAAAGTTTTTTTAAGAATGAATTAGGACTGGCCATAAACTATGAATTAAACTAATAACTCTATTTAAAAGAGACATATCAATCAATAAATCATATTTCATTGATATATAATACTACCAGTAAAACATTTATATTCTTAACAAAAGATATTCAATCAGAACACAAACAAATATTTGTTACATTTATAAAATATATAAGACTAACAAAATTTCATAATTTTTCTATCAATTTTAGCTAATAATAGAAAATATTTAATATAGAATGTTAAGTAATATATCGTCATAATTTTCCTAAATACATTTAAAAGTATAATTTGCAGTAACACTTATTAAATAAGGAATGATTTTATAATATTAATATATTATTACAGTTAATAATCAAACTATATTTTATACTTAAAATAATGTTCTTAACATTTTCCAAATAAATACTATTTTGTTCGAGGGGAGAGGAAGGAACACGAGAAGACGCTATATAAGAGACTCGCTCACAAACTTCGAATATTCGGAAACAGAAGACTGAAGGAAGAGTGAGTGAAGACACTTCTTCTCCTACTCTCTCTTCTATGCTTCCGACCTTCTCTGTAAGATCCTTTTTTTCTTACTCTTTTTCTCTCACTTCCCAATTCTCTCTCATTCTCTGTCTCTCTCCCTCCAACTCTCTTTCTCTTCTTCCCATTTTCTCTCTAACTCAGTATCTTTTGCTGATTCGTTTATGGCGGGAACTCACGTTTTTCGCCGTTTTCCTCCATTCCTGTCGTTTCCTTTTCCCTTTCTCGTTAACGCTAATGTCACGCTGTCAGTTCCTCCGATATTCCTTTCTTTCTATTTTTCTCGACACTCCCATGGCTGCATCGCCTATGTGTTTCATTACCAAACTTCATTTGTTCCGAAATCGCTAAAATACCACATTCTAGGGTTTCCCTTTTTCCACCCCCAATGCCCCATTCGGACCCTGCAAAATGCTGGCCGTTTTGATTTTCAATGTATCACCATTTAGTCGAAGTTAAATATTAAACTAATAGTAACAAACATTATTATTTTAATTGCTGTTATTCAATCATTTTGTTTTAACCAAGAAAAGACTAAAAGTCGAAACTTTTCCTTGCATTTTTTTCCTAGGACATGCAACCTCAACCTGAGTACTGTTTCAAGTGGTTTCTGTATTGCGCTTTCTTATATGGCTGAAAGAGTATTGTTGTGTTGTGTTGTGCTGAATTCTGGGTGCAGGGTTTCTCTGATTGACAGGACCTGCGGCTTTATATCCCAATGCCGCTTTTGAGGAGAAAGCCTTTTGCCCTTGCTGAACCACCGAATGATTTGGAGCCATGCGAGAGTCTTTTTCGAATTCGATTTACTAAAGAAGTATTTCGAGATTATAAGTATCTTTTTGTCGTTCATTTATTTCTATAACTTTTCACCTGTCTTACTTAATTACTTGGAATACACCAAAAGCATAGCGTGATTTTTGAGTTGGAAGAGGTTGAAAAGTGTTTCGATTTTTGCACTTTTTTTGCATTTTTGACCATTTGTTTAATGGTGGGTATTCCTTGACACGAACAAGTGATTATTTGAACCGCTTAAATCAATACCGCAAGAGGGTTTGGACGTGCAAAGTAACGGGAAAAACCGGCTTGACTTATGAACAGGCTTTGGTGTCAGAGAAGCTTGCTACTGAGAAAGTTCAACAGATTCCGGAAGAATTAATGGTACCGGCACTTAGGATTATTCAGTACAGTAAGTTCTACTTTTGGTCCAAATGAAAAGAAAAAGTTTATGTTGAACGAAATTGAACTATGTTTCCTTTTTCTTTGTGGCTTATTATTGGTTATGCTCATTTGTTTTGCATGGGTAATTTGAAAATTTTCGTTTTTTCTGCATTTGTTGAAATTAAAATATATGGTTTAAAGAGCTGTCTTTTAATTTGCTTTGTTTACAAGGGTTTGTTATTGTTAAAAGTTTATAATATACAGTATTATAAGCACCTTTGGAGGAAATTAAGATGATTGTGAAGAAGCACATGTAATGGGATGTGCATATTGAATCCCGCAGTAGGGGCGGTGACTTTAAGATGGGACGTTACTTTTGAATGATCGAACAAAAGGTATACCGTGCTACCATCCACAATGTTATTTGAGAGAGAAAGATTGCTTTGTTGTCTTGGAGTTGTTTTCAAGGGCCTACCAAATGGTTTTAGATTACTGGTTCCGTTTTTCATTACAGGAATTTGTCCATCAAGTTAGCAGTTCAATGCAAGTATTGCATTTTACTATTTATTCTATAAATTGTCCTAAGCCTCATGTCTATCTCTTATGTTGGTTAGCTTGAAGATGAGTAAGTTTTGGCTAATTAGCTGGTATAAGAGATTAAATTATTGCTGGTTAAAGCAAGCCATGCCAAATATGATTTAGGTTGCCTGTATATATCTCGTGGGAGCCTCTTCAATTTGTTTCGGTACACAGAAGTTTATGGGAGGAGAACCTGCCTCATTCCAAGGTCTGGACACAAGACTCAGGGAGATCTTGAAATGGTAACGAAGAGTTATAGATGATCCACTAATGAAGGATTTAGCTAAGTATATATGTCTGCATCCTAACATCTTGTGACTTTGAGGCAATTAAGAACTGTGGTTGTGATGATTTTTCCCTTCAGATTGCTTAAATTGTGAATCATCAATTTCTGCACGACTCTGATTTTTGATCAAACAATGCTATATGCATCAAATGAAGGAGTTTGCTAAATTCATCTTATGTATTATTACAAGTGTTTATCACAATTTCTCTTAGAAAAATTCGTAGGTTTTGGAACTTTAAAAACTATGCTTGTTTAAGAATTGGTATGAAAAATTTTAGGATATATATCAGATGTGGTTTCAAGTTATAGTATGCTTTTAACCTTTACCTGATATAGACGCTTCACAATTTTAACTTCTGTACTTTTAAGTGGTCATGTGCTATTGCAGGCATGCTCCCTTTGAAGGACCTTGTTGATTCTATTGCTGATAAGTTGAAGGAGCAGTTGGTTGAGGGCTCTCAATTGTATGGAAAAAAGAATGAAAGAGTGTGTCCTTGCAAAATATTGAGAGTGATGCAGAAAGATGCTGAAACTGTGAGCTATGTGGTGGCTTGGCTAGATGAAAGCAATAATGTTATTGAAAGAGCAGAAGTCAGTTCTCAAGATTTGGTGCAGAAGAAGCCACCTTTTAGTAGAAATATTTTGAAGTCTTTTGTCCGTGAATGTACATATCTAAATGCTCCTTGGGTTTTACATGATAAACTTGCAAAATATCATGGAATCTCAACTGACATTCCAGAGGAGTTAAGAGGAAAGGTTTCCTTTAACAATGGACTCGTGGTCTTCACCAAAAAAAGAAAGCATGAGGTAGGTACACACAAGGAGGTGGTAGTTTCAGCTTCTATTTTGTTACCTACAAAATTAAAAAGAAAAGAGTACAAGATCGTCCAAATGTCAAATTTTATAGATTTATAGCTTACAGACTTCTGATTGGCTTGTTAAATAAATTTATGATTTGTTGTTTCAAATCTATCATGTTCAGGAAGAGTCTATCAAATATCCAATTGATGATCTATTAGTGAAGCCTAGTCCAGATGATCCAGTTTTCAGTAGTCGTCCTTCTCCATCAAGAGACTTTAATGTTCCAATTCATTGTGTAGGGGATCTCTTAACGGTTTGGGACTTTTTTATGTCTTTTGGTAAACTGTTACAATTATCACCGTACTCTCTCAAAGATTTTGAAAACGCAATCTGTCACAAGGATAGCAATGTTGTTCTCCTGGTGGAATCTCTTGCAGTACTCTTTCGTGTGCTCATCAAAGGTGATGATGAATACTATGCAGCTGTTCAAGATAAATTACCGAAGAAGGTTCGTGTCTGTCACATATATTCTTTTTGTTAGTGCTGTAATGGATAAAGACAGTTGTTCTGATAGGTATTGCAGATTTATTAAAAAACAACCTTAAGAATTGTATATTTTTATTGCAACAACACACTAGGCTTATCATCCTTGGCTTATCCCGTTACTGATTTTCATATGTAAATGTCTTATGCAATATCTTTTTTTCAGATTACAATGATTAGTTGGAAAGACTATTTATGCAAGTTTTTAGAAATGATCAAAATTCCCAAGCTGCAGCAGTATGAAGCAACAATTAAACGGGGACGTTATAGCTATGTAGATGTCAATGCTAAATTAGAAATCTTTTGCGAATTAGTCAATCGAGCCCTTGATACAGCTATTGTCAGGGAAAAATTGCATGAGTTTATTGAACAAAGGCGGGTACTGGGAGCTGCTAAAAGGGAAGAAGCAATTGAAGCTTCTGCAAAGAGAAGAAAAGTAAAGGAGCAGTTGAAAGCTGATTCTGGAAGCACCTGTGGTGAGAATGGGCATGATCTTGATCAGGATGCAACTGTCTCAGCTGATAATAGTCACAGAATACAGAATGGTAGTATTAGAAAGAATAGAAACA